AATTGCAAGTTTTACATATTTCTTTTTTTCTTTTATTTTTTAATTTGTATCTTTTATCATTTACAACTACAGGGGGCAATCATAAAAAGAGTATACAACTAGCCACTTGTATAACTTTAGTCATTGTCTAATTTAAGTAGTCTGCTTGAAGGTTCTACACTAGCTGCTATACCTGAAACCTGCTTGTAGGTTCTCTATTTAATCACTCTGTTCCTGTATCCACCCACCTACCTATACCTACCAAGATGCCCTGGTTAATACTGGTTCAAATATGCCATGGTCACTAAGTCTTTAAAGCAGTTCACTCACATGAGAAACCTTTGACCTTGTACTAAACTTTTCAGAATCTTCTGTATCTCATTCTTACAGTTGACCTGGTATCGCTATGGCCAAAACCAATACTGGCAATCAGAGCATACCATTAAACTACTATGCTCTTGTAGAGTTCATCTCAACCATGATACTGACTTCACAACATATCCTTACTACTTTGGTATTCAATTCAAATTCCACCAAGCTGCCATTTCAGATAGCTCAGAAAGGTAGGATGAAACTATATCTCTGGTTTACATGTTTGTCAGCATATATCTTTTTCTTCCAAAACCCAGAAATTTTAGCAGTCTGGTTAGTTTATCCAGTTTCTTCTCAAAGATCAGCACATTTGCTTAGTTTCATAAGTTCTAGCTTTATTTTATAAGTCTAGTCTTTATAATAGCACTGTTGAAGGTTTGGGTTATCTTTCTACTCAGATCTTTTAAGTAGGCTTTTATTTTTCTACCTGGTTCTTGTAATTTACACAGCCTAAGGACTTATCTTGGGTTCACACCACCTGGTACTAGTTTGTATTCTATTGTACAATATTGTATAAGTGCCTAGACCTTCTAATTATACTAGTATAACACAAATTACAGATATCTTATCCTAATCAATCACAGAAGACAGTTAGCTATAACACAGAAAGAATTGCAAATTTTTGGCATTACTGAAATTTAAACTCTAGATCTGTCACTTGGGAAACCTATCTACTTTACTAAGTCACTACATCTCACTTTTACAATTTTCTTTTAACTAAATTTATAGCAATAGATAAATAATCTGAAAAGTACTAATTACTTATTGCTATGATTAAGAGACATACTACAGCTAGAAATAAAAAATAAAATCAAGTTAGATTAATTGTCTTTATATTTTTTTTCTTTAGACTAAATGAGTATCTAGAATGAAAATCTAAAAACAAATCTTTAAGTTTATTACTGTAGCAGACTTAGTATTATTATATTATACTATTATGCTAAGTCTGCTATAGTAATAAACTTAAAGATTTGTTTTTAGGTTTTTACTTTGTAGCACTCAAATTAGTGTAAAAGATCCAGATAACCTATTGTCAGAAGAAGAGCCATTATTACAAACATGACTAGAATAATAATTAATAAATAAGGTTAACAGCTTTATTACACTGTAATTTATTTTAATTAAATGAATGATTTGAAAAATACTACAGTAATTATCTATTACTATTATTGAAAGAAATGTTGCAATTACAACTCAAAGAAATAAAACAGTAATAGACACAAGAAAATAAGTAATAAAGTTTAGATTAGCCTTTTTGTATTACTCTAAATACAGTAGAATGATCTAAAGAATATAAATTAAGATATGTAGCCTATTATAATAATAATTATAAGAAATACTATACCTATGACTAATATTGCTGATATTCATATTATATGTTTTACTATTACTCATATCTATACTATTTATTTTATTATTACTATATTTACATTCACTAGGTTTACTAGGTTTACTATGCTTACTAGGTTCAGGACTACAACTATGAATACATTTATGATTACAATCAGTGTTGTTACATCTACTATGTCCAAGACTTTTTTTGCCTTTGTCCATGTCCAAACATCCATACTGTTCACAATTGTCCAAAGAATTTTTAAACTTTAAAATTTAATAAATTAGTTTAAAAAGATATGATTATGTATTTTTTATAGTTCTGAATATTTTTATTTAAAAATTAAAATAGGTTATCTTAATAAAATTTTAAGTAATTTAGATTTGTTTTTTTGTTCAAAATTGTTCACTATTGTCCACAATTTGTCTAGAGCTGTCTTGTGACAATACTAATTACAACTATGTCTATAACTACAACTATATCTATAATCATGATTATGACCATGACTATAACCACATTCATGACCACATTCATAATTAAAATCTTTATTGTCTGTTACAATATTCTTTTTGTAGATTCATAGTTAAAATTAAAAAGTTCTTATTAAAATTTTTTTTTTAATAAATAATTTATACAGTTATTAGTTTGACTCTTTTCTTTATTATTACTTTCTACTGTACTATAAAAAGTTATATTATTGATTAGTAATAAGACTCTTTGTCTTTAATCTAAAATTTATAGTCTTGATCTTTTAATCATTCTTCAAAAATGTCTTGTTTCATCTATGCACTTGCATTATTTTTATAGGTTACAAGTAATGTAGAATGATTCTTAACCTTTTTAAAGCAATGTGGTTTATTAGATTTACCAATAACAAGAGGTTTGAGTTTTTTACTATCAGTAGAATTTGTTGTTAACATTATTGTCAGTCAACTTTTATCTTAAAAATTAATAAGATATGTTAATAGTTATTTATTGGATTAGATATGAGTACTATACAGAGAAAACTAGGAAGTGAATATTTAAATTATTATTGTAGCTTCTGCTACAGTGATAACTTAAATATTTACTTCTTGGTTTTCTCTCTAGAGTGCTTATATTACCTTTTTTTTCCAGATATAAGGCAGATAATAAAGTTTGATTGGATTCTATTCTATAGAATAAACCTGTCTTATTAGTGTTAAATACATTTTTGGGTTAATACCTTGCAATTAGAGTTCTTAATTCATTTTGCATGTTTGGTAATAATTCAATTAGTGCAGTATTGGCTTCTTTATAAATTTTATGCACCTTTAAATTATTTTTTTGCTTAAATCTACTTAACCATCCATTAGAAAACTTCATATCTTCAACAGAAATATTTATAACCATTACATAATAATGAGCTTTTTTGTATAATAAATTTTTTAAAATTGATAAACCAGATGTTATCACTTGATTAACTCAAATATTAAGAGTTTTTTCTAAATCTGAATGCTTAATTCTACTCTTATGAAAAGTATTATTAATAGTTTTATTAACTGTAAAATTCATTCATTTTTCTTTATTAGATAAGATTTTTGATATTGTCAACCTATCTAAATTTAATTGATATTTGAAATTAAACTTATCTTTAATCTTATTTTGTGTTTTATTTAGATTTCTTTGTTTAAACAAACAGATTTTTTTTTTTAGTACATAAGAAATAGCTGTTCTTTTTTGCTTTTCTTTAGTATTAGGTTTTATAGTATAACTTTAAGATTTTAATTTTAGATGATCTACTAACTTTTATTATTATATGTATAATGATAAAATCAGACATGTATATATGTACTACAAGAGAACCCAGATACATATTGATTATTTGTTATCACTACTGCATTACTGATATATCAATATTTACTACAGTGATAACTTAAATAATCAATTCTTGGTTTTCTTTTTGCAGTACTTAATTTTAAAACTATTTAAAGAATTTAATACTATAATTAAAAAAAAAGTTTAAAATTTAATTATTATTATAAATAGTTAAAGTATTGATTTTTTTTAAAAAATATTAATTTGCCTAGCTACTACTTATATTATTTGTAATTATAATTAGGAAAAATTATATATACTTATTATTATATAGTTTTTAAAAAATTATGTAATAGTAATTATTATATTAATATAATTATAAATAGGAAAATTAAACTAAAAAAAAAATAGGTCTAAAAATTTTTGTGACTTTATTAAGGTTGTAATTATAGCTAGGGTGACTATAGCCAAGATTGACTATATTTACATATTTTTTATTTTTTAAAAATTTAAGATAGAGTATAATAACTTAGTAAAGTAAATAAGTTGTTAACTTCTTAAGTAATAGATTAGATATTTAAAACCTACTAATAGTAAAAATTTGAACAATTATTTATATGATATTTATATTTTAACAACTGTTTTTAATAATTAAATTAAGATATCTGTAATTGCAATTATATTAGCTTAATTGGCAAATTATAGAGCATTTGTGTAACTAATTATACAGAGAGATGCAAACCTATATTAAGTAATACAAACTTAAAATAAGTTCTTATAACTATATAAATTTATAAAAATTAAAAAACAAGAAGCTAATTTGAAAAGATTTAAGCAAAAAAGTAGCACAAATCTTTAACAGTACTACTATAAAGACTAGCTTTATGAAACAAATATTAATGTAAAGAAACTAAATAGACAAGAACTTTGAATAAAAGGTACTACTAACTAAACTACTAAAATTAAATTAAAAAAAAAATATTAGGCCAATCTAATATATCAATAAACTGGTTATAATCTTACTAAGCTATTTGAATTAAAAGTTTTAAGACAAAGCCAAAAATACTAAAGTAATTCAGATATGCTATAAAGTAGTATTAAGATTTAGGTGAACTCTGTAAAGACATAACAGTTTAATAGCTAGCCTTGATTGCAAGTATTAGTTTAGCTATAGTAATATCAAATTAGTTATAAAAATAGATATAGAATTTTTTAAGAGATTTATATTAAGAATAAAATAGTCTTAATATTGAGACAAAAAAAATCCAAGTATATCTTAGTAAAGTTAATACAAAATGCAAATTTAGAGTATTTAAAATAAAACATTCAAACAGAGGTGCTAGATATGACAATTAGTAAAAAACCTTTAGTTAAACTTATTAAATAAATAATATAAAAAAATTATATATAACCAATTGTACAATTTTTCTATAATAGTTTTATATAAAACTATATTTTCAAAAAAGCATTAATAAAAGTCAAAGATCCAAGAGGTTATTTTAAAAAAAAATTTCTAAGGTTTTTTATATATTTTTATATAAAATTTTTAATAATATATAAAATTAATTAGAGCTTAAAAAAGATTTTGAAATATAAAAATTTTATTTTTTTTGATATCAAGATAATCTTTTTGGTTTTTTACTTTTATTAATAACTTTTTTGATAATGTAATTTTATAAACCATTACAAAAAGAGTGTACAATTGGTTACATATATAACTTTTCTATATTATCTATTTAAAGAGTTTGTCTAAAGGTTCTTTACTACTTGCTGTATTTAATACTTCTGCTTAGATGTTTAATTTTAAACCTTCTAAATCTGCATTTGTGTTAATATTAATGAGTTAAGCCCAGAACATTATTTCAATCTTAGAACTATTTTATTTTCAAAATAATCTTCCAAAGCTTTTTGTATCTATTTTTACAGCTAATCTAGATATTGTTATAGCAGAACCAACACTTGCAGTCAGAGTTATATCATTTAACTACTATGTCCTTATAGAGTTTACTTGAATACCAGCATCTACTTCATAGCATAACCCTAATACTTTAGTATATATCTGTTTTTTTACTAATCTTTTAATCCAAACAGTTTATATAAAACTATGATCAGTTCATTAGTATATCAGATCAGCTTGATATCTTTTTTCTTCAATTCATTTTAGTAGTCTGATTGGTAGTATTTCTGAAACTTTTAACCTAAAGGTTTTTACTTAACTAAATACTATAATCTCAGTATCTGTTTTCTTACACTAGCTTTTATAGTAGTGTTATCAAAAATCTATGCTATTTTTTCTTTTGAATCTTTCTAAATAAACTTCTTGTTTCTCAATTTCAACAGATTTACATGCTTACAAGAACTTATTTGAAGTTTGCAATATCTGATGTCAGTTTGTATTTTTTTATATAACTAGTTATACAGATGTCTTATAATTTGCTAGTCATATTGGTATGACTGTCATTACAGATATCCTAACTCAATTATTAAAAACAGTTGTCATAATACTAATATTATATAAGTAATTATTTAAATTTTCACTATTGATAGAATTTGAACATCCAACCTACTACTTGAAAAGTTAACAACTTATATATTTTACTAATTACTACACTTCTTATATAAAAAATTTTATTTGAACTACATTGTAAATAGTTTATATAAATCTAAAAATTATTAAATTTTTTTAAAAAAACAGAATATAAAATTTAATAATTAATAAATTTTATAATAAAAAAAAAAATAATAAATTAAAGGAAAAAAAAAAACTATAACTCTTTTTGCAGATCATTTGTACCAAATTTTTGATAAAATATTTAACTATTTTTAATTATTTTATTAAGTTAATCTTACTTTTGCTCTTAAGTAAACTTGTTTAGGCCATTTTTCTGCTCTTAGGCAGATAAGTTTTAAGCTTTGGCAACACCTGGCTGCTGAAAAAAATTACAAAAACCAAAGTTTTGGTTTTTGCTTATTTTCTTGAAATTTTATTAACTAAATATACTTTCTACCTTAGTAATACTTTGTTCAACTTACTAAAAGGAACATTTTGATATATATTTTATCAAAAATTGATTAAAACTCATTAAAATATCAACAAAAAGATAAAATTAAAACCTATCTTTACAGAATTTTTCAAAGATAATTTTAGGAAAACTTGTTGGGTTGCCCTGGAAATTTTACTTTTCTGGTACCTATTAAAATTTTCTAAACATCTAATTACCTTTTTTAATAGTCTCACACTTTTTTGATCTTTTCTAAACAGTCTAAAAACTCTTAAATTTGAAAATTTTTTCTAAAAAACTTAGTTCTATAAATATTTTATCAAATTTTAACATTACATAATTATTTATATATATAGTTATACAAGATGTCTACCTTGGTAACAGATATACCTGATACTATTGACCTCAACTACTTCTATCAAAAATGCTCTAAAAGCTTCAGTATTGAAATTCATAAAGATAATATAAATATATCACATTCTATCTCTTCTAACAAAAACCTAGCAGCTATATAATAACTGAACTTAGAAGTGTTATTAAAACTAGTCACTTTTTTAAGGCACCAATAACAAGTTCTATTGTTAGTTGTTTTTGTGAAAAATTCTATATACACTTCATTTCAGCAACCAATCAAACATATAATGAAAATGAAGTAATTAACATAATTAAAAAAACTAAAGATAAAAAATTCTTAGTATACAATATTATGAATTCTACCAAATTCATCTCACCATCAACTAGCTCATCTCTTTCATCTATTACACACCAGCATACATGTGCTGTATACAACCTACCTTTTAACTGTAAAGTAACCAACAACCAACATTACTTAGCAGCTGACTTTATTTTATTCAATAACAAAACTTATCATAAATCATATACTCAAACCCAATTTAATAAACAAAAAGCACTTCTACACCTCAACAAAGCATCTCTACATCTTAACAAAGTCTACACACTACTCTTATCCAAAAAATTTAATAATCATTCTCTAAATACAGAAACTCACTATTATTTCAACTTAATCCTTTAACCTCAACAAAAGAAAAAATCAACAACAGCAACAGCAACAGCAACAACAAAACAATCAACATCAACAACAACAAAAACAACTTAAACAAATACAATTAGAAACATAACAACAACAAAAACAATCTTTAAATAAACAACAACTTAATATTTCTAATAACTAAAATAACATTAAAGCTAATTCAATATTCAACTAGCTTACTAACTTTACTATTTCTAAAGCAATGAAATTCAAAACCCAACTTGAAACAGATTTCTTTAGAAAAATATTTAATCTTCTTAAACAACACTTACATGATTTCTATTCTGGCAAGGAAATCAAACTCAAAACTAATAACTGCAAAATACTTAAATCTAGCTTTTATCATATTATTCATATAATGGCTAGAAGTAGATCTGAATGTCTTGTTGAATTTATTCATCAAAATAATCTTAAAACTGACAAAGCAATTACTATTTCTTTTAATATATTTGAAAACATTCTCAAAAAACTAATTCTAACTTTTACTTTAGTTCTTTTTACAAAACTCAACTACTTAAAAATCTTTGCCTTATCTGCAACTA